GTTACGACTGATCCTGCACGCCCCTTCTATGTCAGCACCAGGGAGCGCTCTCCATCACTGCCATCAAGTCCCTACTGCTTCATAGAGGCCCCGTGGGCGAGTCTAACTGCTCCCGTGGGCTTCTGAGGCTGTACATCTCACCACCTTCAAAGCGGCTGGTGGGTTTGAACGGCTGACCTTGTGGTTAGCAGCCCGACACGGAACTCACTGTCCACCAAGGCTCCTTATGGTTTCACAGTAGCCCATCACATAATACACCCCCCCCACACCCCCTCGGTTGTCAGTTTTCTTCTGATAGACCGTCATTTGCAATTGGTTGTATCATGCGCTCCATTTATCAGAGGTCCAAGTGACTTCACCTTCCCGGGGGACACACAGCGCCTGAGTTGTAGCGTGGGAACGCCATGCCTCTCGCTGCCCTCTTCCTTCGGCCTTGTGTACGTTCCAGGCCTTCGTTCTCCCATGGTCCCACGAGCCCCGGCAATTAGGCTATCCTTTTACTCACGCACACAGCACAAACTGTCACCCGGCGCCAGGCTCTGGGGTTAGGTCCAGAGGAGATGGAGGGGAGTGGTCCTCACTCCCTGTGGGGACTTCCAGGCTGAGCAGCCAGCCGGTGGCATCATCTTACAAGCCACTGCCGTTCCTCGGTGGTAGTCCCTGTTCTCACCAATAAGGAAACCAACACAACGTGCCAACAAATCCACAAATCCTCGTTGCAATGCAAAGAGCAGAAAAGCAGCCCAGGAACTCACACACTGACCAGCCTGGCCCCCTGCCCGGTTCCCATCACTGAGAGAGCCGCTAAAGCCATCAGCCCCCCTCCCCATCCCCTTCCTCCCAGGCCACCACCTGCCTGGCTGAGACCAGCCATTGCCTCCCCCCAGCAGTGCTGGCCTCTGCCCAAATTCACCCTCTCCAAGCCACCAGCCTTGCTCGGACTTGCTGACAAAGGGGACCACCTAATGACTTCCTCCCAGCGCTTCCTGTCTCCAGCCCAGCCCTCCCCTCACTCTGCTCCCTTCATTTCCTAATCTGCTAGGCTTCCCAGCATGGCTCTGAGCGCTAGTGTCACAAGCTGCATGGCCCAGAGGCTAGCACGCGAGCTCAGCTCAGCCCTGGGTGACCTTGAACAAACTCCTTTTGCCTTTGATTCCTGCCCTATAAAACAGGATAATGGCCAAGCACACCCGCAACACTCACACACCTCCTATGGGTGGTGTCAGGATGAAGTGAGAACAGGGCTCAGTACCTAGGAAGTGCTCATACATATTCATTGTTTATGTCAGACTACAAAACCCTCAGGGGAGGAGCCTGTGTAAGATCTCCAGTCTATTAGCTCCCATGTGCTCCTCTCACTGGTGAATCACCTTCAGCTCCCTGAGAGCTCTGCGGACTCTCTTTCTCTCTCCCTCTTCTGACGTCTTTCTCTCCTTTCCCACCTCCCCTCTCCCTCCAAAGCCGGCCCCAACTTTTCTTCCTCTTCACATTGGATTCCCACAGCTGGACACACACCGGGCCTAATACGAATGAGTGGGAAAAACATCACATTTGGGTTCTGATGGGCGAGTAGGAGTTTTCTAGGGAAAGAAGAGGCACTCAAAGCAGGGCTGCAACAGGGCCTCTTCCATCATGGGACTACAGACACCTGTGGCCTGGAAGACAGATAGCGGGGGAGGCTCAAGAAGGCGGCCGGTCAGTCTGCATCTTTTTGTGCTGTGCGGACAAAGGGCAGGCTTCTGTGGTGGTGTGAGCACTTATGATGACGGTTGGTGAGACAGGAACGTCCACTGAGAGATAAGAAATGAGGCTGGACGGGTGGATCCTTGGGAAGCTGCTACTATTACTTTTTAATCCCTCAGTTTATTATCACTTTTAAGTTGAGATATACTTTGCCTACAGTGGTCATCAGTATTGGATGTAAAGAGTTCTGACTATTGTGTTGTTGTTAGGCACTGTCAAGTCGGCTCTGACCCACAGCGACCCCCGTGCACAGCAGAACAAAACACTGCTTGGTCCTGTGCCGGCCTCACAATTGTTCTTACTTAGGTTTGAGCCCATCGGTGCAGCCACGGGGTCCATCTATCTTGTGGAGGGGCTTCTTCTTTTCCGCTGCCTCAATACTTCACCAAGCAGGATGTCCTTCTCCAGGGACTGGTCTCACCGGACAAGGTGTCCAAAGTACTTGAGTAGAGGTCTAGCCTTCCTTGCCCCTAAGGAGCATTCTGGCTGTACTTCTTCCAAGACAGAGTTGTGTTAGTTTGTTTTGTTTTTTAAGCCATTCCGTGGAGGTCATTTATTGTGGTTCCGGTAAGAACATCAGGGTAATGAAAACAATATGAGTGCATGTTTTAGAGCTATAGCCATAACAAAGGACACTTGAAAAGGGGGCTGGGGGAGCTCTTGCCCTCAGCTTCTCATGTCAATGGTCATTTCTAGTTGGACACACATTGTAGCAGGGTAATGTTATCTCCTGTTAGCATGACCAGCCCCAGTTACCTTCTTGACTTTGAGAATGAATCTCTTCCGCATCACCTAACACAAGGTTCATCTATTCATCAAAGCCTCCTGATACAGCCCTTGATCCGAATATTCACTTGCTCGTAGAGCCACACCTGAATCCAGGATCTCTTTTGCAAGTGTCTGAAGAGGAGGTTGATGGGCTGCCCCGTCACCTTCTGCACTTTCTGGCCCTGGCCAGGGTCCGCCATCGTGGAGGCTCACAGAGACTTGTTTGGTCTTTTGGCAGTCCGTGGTACTTTCAATCTTCTTGGACCACACCAATTGCATACATCTATATAAAAGCAAAGGGAGCTCTGGTGGCATGGTGGTTACACATTGAGCTGAGAACCTCAAGGTCAGCAGTTTGAAACCACCATCTGCTTCTGGGGAAAAAGATGGGGCTTTCTAGACGGGTAAAGAGTTACAGTCTCAGAAACCCACAGGGTCGGCATTGACTCGATGGCAGTGAATTTGTTTGTTTGTGGCTTGGTATAAAAGCAAAAATCAAATCAAGCGATTCATGGGGACCGTATGAAAGAGCGGAACACTGCCCCATAGGGTTTCCCAGACGGTTCATCTTTATGGAAACAGACTGTCTTGTCTTTCTCCTAGAAGCAGCTGGTGAGCTCAAACCGCTGACTCTTGGTCAGCAGCCTAGAGCTTTAACCATTGTACGCCGGGGCTCCTTCCATGAGCACAACCGCCACCGAAAACGAGGCCTGGGGCACTCTCATCCCAGAAAGATCCCTCCGGGTTCTTTCCAATCAATTCTCCCGGTATCCCGGGACAGAAGGCTTTTCAGTACATAATGTTTGTGTTCCGAAAGGATGAGTGGTTACCAGGCAGAGAAGGATTACAGATCTATCGGCTTGAAGGGTGTGATACTGTCCAGAATAAAAGAGGGGACCTGGATTGCACAGAGGTCGCCTAGCAACCAGACAACTTGGTAACTTGCTCTCTCCGGGTCTCTTAAGAGAAGGCTCCGCCCCGCCCACCCCACATCCACACCACGCCCACCACCACGCCCCGTCCTGCGCACGCAGCCCGTGAGCGGCCCCGCCCCGCGCAGAAGGGCGGGCAGAAACTCCTTATTGGTCCTTTCTCCGGAAGCGACAGGATTCAGATTCTTGCCCGAAACCGGGCGGCCGCCTGCGGCTGCGTGCGGGGGACTGGTGCGTGGCCCGGGTGCGTGGGAGACGAGGCGGGGTGCACGTGTCGGGGGCGCACCCCGAGCGCGGGTGGGACCCCCGCGTGGAAACCCCCGGCTCGGCCTTTTCTTCGCGTTGCAATAGCGGAGAGCAGTCCGCTTGGGGGGCGGAGGGAGGCTTCCCAGACCCTGCCGTAGCCCCACTGCCGGCCGGGGTTGTGGGGAGTCCCAGCGACCCGGACCGCACGGGAGGGGTTCGGGGACTCCCTCGGGCCCTAAGCCCCGGCGCATGACCGACCCTCGCGTTCCCAGAGCCCCCGGCGCCGGCCGGGATGTTCGTGCTGGTGGAGATGGTGGACACGGTGCGAATCCCGCCGTGGCAGTTTGAGAGGAAGCTCAACGACTCCATCGCCGAGGAGCTGAACAAGAAGTTGGCCAATAAGGTAGTGTGCCCACGGGGTCGCGGTGTGGGCACGGAGCGGGGTGGGGTGGGGGAAGGCCCCGGCTCGGTCTTGCTAAACCTGGCCTTGGACACGGAGCCTAACATCCGAGGACCTCGGTGATGCTAATGTCAGAGTTTAAAAATCCCAACTGTCGTGGACTCAGGACAGACCACCAGGGGGCTTCAAAAAAAGGCCACGGGGGCGGGGGGTTCTTTTTCTTTCCATTCCATTTCTCTACAAACTTTTTGAAGCCCCTAGAGGATTTCCAAGGTGTTACCAGCCCACTGCTACATCTTTGCTCCGGGGAGCAACCGGTAACCACCAAGCCATCCCACCTCCTTCCAAGAGAGTTAGAGGGGACCAGAAGGGAAAGGGGCTTTGAAAAAGGGCATTGTAACTGACGATGGCTGGATGACTAGCTTCCATATCTCATAACAACAGACAAGCCACTTAGCCTCTCTGGGCCTCAGGTTCCACTTTTAAGCTGGGGGGTGGTCATTGCTGCTCTACCCCATTGCTTTTGTGGGGAGGCTCTGGTCTAGTAACAGAGAGCTGATGGTCAGGGGGTTAACCCATTCATTTCTGCAAGAAATACCCAGTATCTTATGCATGCCCAGCCTGGACTGCCTTAGTGCCAGCTCCACCTAACTAGCAGGTCAGCCTCCACGGAGGCTTGGTGGTGGCTTGTCCCTCTTTCTCACCGAGGGCAGGGATCTGCTCTGCCCTAGCCTCCGCTGTACCCAGCCACACTGTAGCCACACCTTGCTGCACCCAGCCATGATGCTTACCAAGTCTCATCATGCAGCTGGCCACACCAGGTACCTAGCATGGCGTAGGCGTTGCATGTTGTCTGTGGACTCAATGGAGCCGGGCAGGTTCTACACTGTCTGCAGTCTAGTGGGAGAAGCAGGCCCCACAGTTGAGTGTGTGACCACGATGGGGTGAGTGGGGGTATGAAGGCACGTCACCTGGAATGAAGGGAGCACAGGGCCTAGCTGCCGAGGTGGTGGTGGTGGAGGGGACTGGGCGGAGAGAAGAGTACAGCAGGCAGAGGAAGCAGCGGCATGTGCAAAGGCCCTGTGGCAGGAGGGAGTGTGGCCCAGAGGAGGCCCAGGTGGTGTAGGCAGAGGGGAGATGGGCAGAGCCTGGCTTGTACTTTGGAGCTGTGAGAGGTGAGGGGATGAAGAGGAGGCAGGAGGAGGAGATCCCTGCTAGGAGCTGGCAGGTATGAGGGTCCTCAGGTGGGAGGGGGAACTCAGGGAGGCCTTAGTGGGTGTAAAGTAGGAGGGGACGGGCATCTGGGAGGGCAGGGAACGGCGAACAAGTCCCCGGAGCGGAGCGCATACAGCCCCTTTAGGGCATGGGTGCCTCAACGTTTGGTGATGGATGCGAGTGGAGTGGAGAGGCAGCACTAAAAGGGGTGGCTGTGACCTCATGTCTCCAAGGCTCTAAGCTTTTCGAGGATGCTGGCCCAGCCCTTCTGGCTCTCTGGTGGCATTGGTGGCACATCTGCAGACACCAAACAGAGCGTAGTGGGCAGGGAAGGGGTGAAGGGAACCTCGTCCTCACCCTGTTCCCAGTCTGTCTCGGGCCGTAGACCTGTGTCCCACGGCCAGCCGTGTGTGTGTGTGTGTGTGTGTGTGTGTGTGTGTGTGTGTGTGTGTGTGTGTGTGTGTGTGTGTGAGACTCGGTGGGCAGCTCAGAGATTGGCTGCAGCTTAGCTCCCTGGGCTGTGAGGCTCTAGCCTGGACTTGGGGTCATTGAAACATGGAAGTTTTACTTCACAGCCTGGAGTTGGTGGCACTTGACTGCTTACTAGAAGGTTGGTGGTTCAAACCCACCAGCCACTCCAAGGTAGAAAGATGGGCCTGCCTGCTCCTGGAAGATTAACACCCTACTCCTCCCTGTAGCATGGCTAGGAGGAGCTGGAATTGACTGGGCGGCAGCGGAGCCAGCCTAGCATCTTCTTATTTTGCTGTTGGGGAAGCGGAGACTCAGAGAGGGGAAGTGAACTTGTGGAGGTCACACAGTCTTTCCAGAACCCCACATCCTTCTGACAGTTCTCCCCGGGGTTACCTCAGTGGCAGCCTCAACACATTTCTCTCTGTAACACAGGAGAACTCCACCTGCCCTCTCTCAGGAGAGACTGACTTTCTGGGGAGTGGGACATTGTGGGTGCACACCTGTACATTCACATACTCACACAAGCCATGTGCTGGGCCAAGGTGGGCCTGTGTGCAGAACATGTGTGCCTGCACGCCTGCAGGTTGTGTACAACGTGGGACTCTGCATCTGTCTGTTTGACATCACCAAGCTGGAGGATGCGTATGTGTTCCCGGGAGACGGTGCGTCACACACCAAAGGTGGGTGCCCTCTCTACCTGGGATGTGGGTTTCTTGGGGCTTGGGTTTCTACAGCAAGTAGTCAGGCCCCAGAGGTGGGCTAAGGGCGGCAGGGGTGCTGTGCTAGAGGGTGGAGGACTCAGGGTCTAGTCCTGACTCTCCCAGGCACTAACTGAGTCCTCTCTGGGACACAGCTTCCTCACTTGTGAGACCTGTGCTGTTGTCAGGACCTCACCTCGCTCTGGGATCAGGGTGCTGGGTCCTCGCGCTCTTTGGTCCCATCTGTAGCTGAGCCCCTCTGGGCATGGCCCTGATACTCACTGCATGCTGGGGACACAGGCTGCCTGCCAGGCTGGTGCTGGCTGGCAACGTGGTGCGACCATTGCTGGGTTACCAGTGGGGAGGGGCAGTGGGCTTTGCAGTTCTTTTTTGGGGGGGGATGGGGGGGAGATGTCTTCCTTTTATTTTTTTTGACCCTCTACCAAGCATGGTGCTCTTCCATAGGGACTGGTCCTGATCACATGTCCAAAGCACATGTGATGAAATCTCACCATCTTCACCTCTAAGGAACATTCTGGCTGTACTTCTTCCAAGACAGATGTGTTCCTTCTTCTGGCAGTCTCTGGTGTGTTCAATATTCACATGCCATCATGCAATTAATCAAAATTCCTATTTCAAAGGCATTGATTCTTCTTCGGTCTTCAGTCTTCCTCATTCACTGTATAATGATGGTTCCTACCTCATAAAGTGGGTGCAAGGCACACATGAGAAAACCCCCTGCCGCTCTAGGCCCACGCCTGGCACACTGTGACTTGCTGTGCTGAGCCCAATGGGAGACTTCGCTGGTGCCAGTCCCAAGTCACAGGCTGCTGGATTTGCCTGCCTCTGAGAAGTGCCTCTTAGCCTGTTCTGCACCCCACACCCCAGGCTGGGCTAGGGCCCTGGGTACACCCCATAGCCTGTTGTCTTGTGCCTTGGGCACAAGATCAGGAACTGCCTTGCCTTTAAGCCCAGTGTCTGGCACAGACCTAATAGAGGCTCAGTACGGATTCTTTGGACCAGTCACTGGGGTCACGTGGGGATGGGGTTTTTCCATCCCATGGGCAAGTGGCCTCGACTGCCGTTGCCTGCTACCTAGGAGGACGGGATGAGATGCTGAGGTTCTGGACCGTCTTCAGGCTGGCTCCTGCTGGTCTTCTTACTGGGTGCGAGGGGATGCCAGTGGGAACGGGGTGCTGGCCACTGGGTTCTGGCCAGCAGGGTCCCCTGCTCAGAAGTCATAATCCACTGTGAGAATGAGGCCGGGCAGCCTCTCTGGCCACACAGCTCCCCAAGTGGTCCATTCAGCCCGTCTCATCTTTCTCTACCTCCCCAATGGACCATGGGCAGCGCCTTGTTAGAGCCTGTTGGGGTTCAGCCTCTGGGGGACAGGAGCCCAGGGGCAGCTTCCTGCAGACTGGGGGTTCAGCAGCAGTTTCCTAGGCTGCCCCATCCAGTGCCAGCTCTGCCCCCACCTCATTTCAGGGCTTTTCCAGCTTCCCTTTCCAGGTCAGCACTCTGCTTGGGGCTGATCCTGATGGACGGGGGCAGGGGCCTCGTTTCCAAGGCTGGCCTTGTCCCCAGTTGCTTCTGCCCTTGCTGGAATGTAAAGGAGACCCTGGGGAAGCTGCCCAGGGCCCAGAATCGGGGGCCAGGTGTGACCTGCCTGGGAGACTTGGGGCCCAGCCTTTGTCCTAGAGCTGTCGACCCCACATGCAGGACAAGGGTCCCAGCAACTCAGCTCTGGGCTGGCAGGGGGTTCTGCATGTGGGTGCTGGGCAGTCAGCAGGAGGGGAGGGCCAAGGTCTCGGTGCCTGCCCGTCGCTGACACGGCCTCCTCATCCCCAGTCCATTTCCGCTACGTGGTGTTCCACCCCTTCCTGGACGAGATCCTGATCGGGACGATTAAAGGCTGCAGCCCCGAGGGCGTGCACGGTAAGGCGGCCCTGAACTCTCAGCCCAGACCCCGAGGGGGCCTGGTGGGCAGTGTGGGCTTCCTTCTCAGGGCTGGGGTCAGATCCTCTGGCTCGCGGAGCAGCTCACTCCATGATTTTGGGGGTGAAGACCTGGGCCAGCTGTGCGGTGTCACTGAGGTCAGGACGTAACTCTGGTCCGTGAAGCTGACGGCAGTGACTCGGGGTTCTTGGAGCCCACTGGTCCCTGGCACGAGGGGCGGCCACCTCAGGGGTTGGTGACCAGACCTGAGTGGCATGGGCAGACGGAGGGTGTGTGTGTGAATGCCCCCCTAGAGCCCTGCCTCGGGCGTCACTGCCCCCTCTCTTCCAGTCTCCCTTGGGTTCTTCGAGGACATCCTCATCCCCCCTGAGTCGCTGCAGCAGCCGGCCAAGTTGTATCCTCCCAGGCTGAAGGGGCTCAGGGTGCTTAGGGTGGCCCGTGGCCCTGGAATGTAAAGGCGCTAGCCGCTGCCAGCATTCGGCTTCTGGAAGTGCTGACCTACCTGCCTCCCACATTGCCCGGTGTCCACGCTTGTCTGCTCAGCCGCTGGGCCATGGTGCCCGTGGGACCCTCAGCCTCTTCCTGCCCTGCCTTTCCCTGGAGCTCTGCCGGACTTGCCCATCCACTGCCAGGCCTGGGCTAGTTCCTGGGCTCCCCTTGTCCCTGCCAGCCCTCACCTTGCTGCTCTGGGGTTCCTGTGGGTTGTGCCTCACTGGGAGGGACCCCCATCCCATCAGAACTGTAATCACCCTGGAGGCGGCCATGGTAACTGAAGCTGCTGGGCAGCTGACTGGACCCTGTAGCAGGACAGCCACCAGAGGGCAGTGCCTCCCCATAATGTGGGTTTCCGGAGGGGGGACCAGAGATGGCCAGTCTCTTTACCTGTACACTCCCTTCCCGTAGGTCTGGTGGGTTGGGTGGATAAGGCCTAAGGGTATGGAGCGTCAGCCCAGAGAACACTAAGGAAGAACTCGGCTAGTGAGAGGTCTGCGAGCCGCCCTGTGGGACGTTATCAACAACCTTGGAGGGTCATGTTACAGTCCCTCCTTTGCAGATGGGGGTACTGAGGCATAGGGCCTTCCTGGTCTTTGTTCCCAAGGCTGGTGGGTGGTGGCCCCAGTGGTGGGCAAGGCCACCTCTGCTCCGAGGTGCTGAAAGCATGTGTTCTTTTGCATGGTGCCTAGTAGGGGCTGTGAGCTCTGCCTGCATCCGTGGTGCCCTGGGGGGGAGGGGTGGTGGAGGCTGGGGCCTGCTTTTCCTATACCTTCCTAGGCAAAGGGGTGTAGGCCTGGGAAAAGTTTCTCCCGGGGAAGGGGCAGTGCAGCCTCAGTGGGGACCCAGGACACCCAGTGTCTTGTGTTGCCTTGACCCTGGGCTTTGCCAGTGACGAAGCGGAGCAGGTGTGGGTGTGGGAGTACGAGACAGAGGAAGGCGCCCACGACCTGTATATGGACACTGGAGAGGAGATCCGCTTCCGGGTGGTGGACGAGAGTTTTGTGGACACGTCCCCCACGGGGCCCAGCTCTGCGGAGGTTGCCTCTTCCAGTGAGGAGCTGCCCAAGAAGGAGGCGCCGTACACGCTTGTGGTGAGGCGCCTGGGGTTTGCCGGACCCCGCGGGGTGGTGGGTGGTGTGTGTGTACCTACGTACTGGGAAGCCCATTCTGAGTCCCTACCCCAGCAACCCAGGCCCAGGCTTGGTGGTGTGATTTAGTTAGGGGCCTGTTTGTCCTGTGAGCCTCCATTCCCACAGGCCGGCTCTTGATCCGAGCTACAGCCATGCCCAGTCTCGTCCTGTGGGTAGGGCAGTCTTCCTGAGCTGAGTGGTGAGGGCCCTGGCCGGTGGATGTGAAGGGGGAGGAAGGGCTGATGTGGAATGGGAAGCTTGCAGGAGTGTGGGACGGGGCTGCTGGGGGCCCCTTACCTTCTCCTGAGGGTGGGTTCCAGAGACCTGGATAATTGGGCCATCAGGGTCCCTAGGTGGTTCTGGGGAGGCCATTGTTCCTGGCAGACACCTGGACGGCCAGGGCATCCCCACAGCCTCGTCCTGCCTGGTCTTCCCGACAGCACTAGACTGTTAACTAGTGGGACTGGTTGGGCCTGGCCTGCTGCATACAAAGGGGTGAGATGGGTACCTGATCCGGACTGAGGTCTCAGGAGCCGGGATCAGACCTTTCTCCCATCAGCGGCCCTTCCTGCGGTCCTTGGCAGGAGTTTAGGGCAGGCTGAGTAGGCTGTGTGCGCGTTGGTCACCATCCCAGGCCCACGGCCCCTCCCTCACTGGCTCTGTTCTCCCTGTGGATGATGTCTGTCTGTCCTCTACCCACCAGGGGTCCATCAGCGAGCCAGGACTGGGCCTTCTCTCCTGGTGGACCAGCAACTAGCTGGGGGCTCAACCACGGACCCTGCCTTGGAAGTGCTGCAGCAGGAAGTCACACAGAGTGGAGGCACAGGACAGAGCTAGCCCCGCTCCTCAGCTCTGTCCCTCCAGAAGCTGCCTCCAGAACGCCCCAACCTGGGACTTTGTGACAGGAGACATTAAAGAGTCACCACACCAGTGTGGAAGGACACCCTTGTCTGTCAATGGCCAGTGTCAGGATGAGTTGCAGCACCTGCCCCCAAGGAGGCCCTGGGCACCTCAGGTGGGGTTTGGGCTGGCCTGTGAAGTCTGGCCAGGGCAGCCTCTCTGGGTGGCTCATGTCTGTGTATAGGTCTGCCTGTTGGGGGCGAGCTCCTCCCACAGCCAAACCAGCCCCGTAAGACTGGAGGCCGAGGTGGACTGACTTGGGGAAGGGGCAGTGACCACACTTGTCCCTCCCACTACACCCTTGATCCAGCAGGAAGCCTGCGGCCAGCTGTCACCTCAGCAACGTCAGGAATGAAGCGTTTGTTTAGCAAGTGGCCGGGCTCAGCCCTCCGCTCCTTCACTTTCTTCTCCCAGGCCCAGGGAGCCCACTGGCTGTCTTCTGGCCACAGCTCTGTGCCCCTTCCCCCCTGGTAACTGTGTGTGTGGCATTGGCGGCACCCAGGAGAGAGCAGCTATGGCACAGTCCTGTTCTCCGTGGATCCCACCCAGGACTGCTAAGTAGGGACAGAACACAGGCCACTGTGCCACGGGCAGACACATTCCGGGCAGACACATTCCTTGCCCCTGGCCATTCAGAGGCCTAAGTGGGAGGGGGCTGTGACCCTGGTGCCGGGGAAGGCAGGAGCTGGGCTGTAGCACTGGGAGGAGGGAGGCTTCCACTGGGTCCAGCAACCTTGGATGGGGAAGGGCATTGCGGGAGGCCTCACTCACCAGGCTCCATTCCCCCGTCACCCCCACACTGCAGCATCCCCTGCAGCTGGGGCTGAGCAGCTCCCCACCAGACCCCATGCTGACACAGACCAACACAATCGCAGCCACTGAATTGTGACTCTTATTTTCTTTAAGAACAAATGGTTCTCTAAACCCCTTTAGCCTCCAGTGAAATGGTTGGGCACAGGAACACTTTCCTCAGGCAGGTCATCAGAATAAATAGCGAGCACAGACCCGCTCCAGAACGGCTGGAACTGGAACCGGGAGGGCAGGCCGTCTAAGAACCCCACGGTCACTGGGTGACTGAGGGTGGGGGGGTGGGCGGAGTGTCGGCCACGTGGTCTGGCTGGCTGGGCTCCAGTCCTGATGAAAGGTGGACTGCACTTGCATGGGATGACAAGCAGGCGTGCAGCGGCCTCAGTGCTGCAGCTCCTTCATCCTGTTGAGCGCTACCGGCCCGGAACCACTCGATCTGGGACTCATTGAATGTGTGGTTCAGGAGGATGGTCTCCTGGGTCCCGTTGGGGTGTTTGATGATGCAGTTCAGGGGCTGCAAGGCAGGGAGGTGGGTTTGGAGGGTCAGAGGCACCCAAGAGCCAAGAGGGCCCAGCTGAACCCAGCTCCCAAATGCCAGGCCCAGCCAGTGAGCAGCCCTGCCCTCCATGAGTAGGTGGCCCACAGAAGGGTCAGAGAGGAAAGGAAGAAGGTGGCTGCCTCCTCAGGAGGACCCCAGGAGTGGGGATATGATCTGCCCTGCCCGCCCTCCAGCACCCTCCTTCCCTGACCTTCCCGGGAGCAAAGTCCTTCAGGCCCTGGATGGTCAGCTTGTCTACAGGGTGGATCTTGTTGTAGTCAGAGGGGTCAGCGAAGGTGAGGGGCAGCAGGCCCTGTTTCTTCAGGTTGGTTTCTGGAAGCCAGAGAGCACTTGTGGTCAGGGGCTGAGCACCTTGCCCCAAGCCTGCCCATGCCCCGTGGTGCGGGATGAGTGACTGGCCCGTGAGGCAGGTATTTGCTGTGGGGGTGGGGGTGGGGGTGCTCACCGTGAATCCTGGCGAAGCTCTTGGTGATGATGGCCCGGCCCCCGAGGTGGCGGGGCTCCAGCGCTGCGTGCTCCCGGCTTGAGCCCTCACCGTAGTTCTCATCTCCCACGACCACCCACTTGATGCCATGTTTCTGCCAGTGAGCAGGGGGCACTGTGAGGCCCCAGGTCAAGGGGCAGGGACTTTGCTTACCTACTGGCCAAGGGGAGGTGACCAGGGTGGCCCATCAGACATGGTCCTGGGTAGCCACCCACAGAGCCCAAGGAAGAAGCAGGCTGAGTGGGTGATGTTGGGACAAAGAGGCCCAGTGTGCACCATGCAGACAGGCAGGCATCAGAGCCAAGTGTGGGCCTGGCACCAGGACAGCAGTAACTGGTAGCCTCTGCTCTGCAGTCCCTTCTGTCCAGGCAGCCACAAGGGCTCCGTCAACCTTACTGGGTCAGGTCTTGGGTTCAACCCTGGTTCTGTTTTTCACCAAGAATTCAACAGACTGGGACTTTTGGGACTGGTGGCTTTGTGTAGTCCCAGCCCATCCGTCCTCAGTGCCTCCCTCAGGGTGAGTGGCCCCTTTTCCTCTCTCATGTGGGGCTGTGGGCAAATACCTCCTGAAACTGCCCACTGGTGGTCTTGCAGGGGGAGCAGGGGCCAGGTTGTCTGCAAGGGGTAGAGCGAGGTCCCCTCCCAGGGCTGTTTCCCTGGTACCTGCCCTCCACGCCCCAACACCACCTCTGACCCACCTTGTAGTAGCGGGCCGTGTCCGGGACGGGGCCAAACTCCTGGGTGACAGCATTGCGGACGGAGTTGGCCTTGCCGTTTTCAATGTTGATGGCGCCAATGAGCAGGTTATTGGAGATGTTGTCCAGGTGCCCACGGAACTTGAGCCAAGGACCGGCGGCTGAGATGTGGTCAGTGGTACATTTCCCTTTGACCTTGGGAGAGGGGAGCAAGAGGACAGAGATCAGGGCTTGGCTCAGTTTACATTCAAGTGGGCCAAAGGCCTCTGGCCACCACAAGGCCCAAACAGGCCACACCCACCTGGCTGGCTCTTGGCTCCTGGCATCTGCAGTGCCTGGTCACACCGTCCCCTCCCATCTGAGCTGTGCTCAGTTGCTCACCCCAAGTGGCTCACTAGCTGCTGCCAGGTGACTGAGGGTCCCTATCTGTGCCAACAGGGCCCAGGGGCTGTGGCCTTGGGCCGACCTTGATGAGGATCTGCAGGTCCTCCAGGTCCTTGCCGTCCCACTTGTCGAAAGGCTCCAGGAGCTGCAGGCGCTGGCTGGTGGGGCTCACGTCCACCCGCTGTCCACTGCTGTCCTTGGGGGGGTGCTGGTAGGTGTCCTGACCAGGGTCAAACTCCTGCCTCAGGGGACAGAGGAGTGTTGGGTACTAGGCCTCACCCTCAGCCTCCATGTGGGTGGCCTCTCTTAGGAAGCAGCTTACCCCCACCCTGAGCATCAGGCCTTTCCCTCCCAAGGGAGCAGAGCTGCTTCAGCCTCACTCATTGGTGCCACCCACCCCGGCCTAGAGGCTGGGCCCTCAAGACCGTGGGAGCAGGTCCTTGGCCTCCCAGCCACCGCTGGCAGCACCTACTTACCGTGCGGGGGAGCTCGTCTGCATCCGGGGCCTCCAGCTTGAACTTCTTCCCGTCTTTGCCTGTCAGGAAGTCAGTCTCTGGGTTGAACTTGAGGGTGCCAGCGATGGCCATGGCTGTGACAATCTGAAATGAAGTGGCCAGTGTGCAGTCAGCCCCACACACCACTCCTGTCTGCACCCAGCACAGTCCAGAGTCCCCTCATGGATGGGCTTCAGGAATGGCAGCTCTAAATCCCTGGCTCTTGGACCCCTAGGGGATCTGGGCCCTTCCACTGGACTCCCTGAGGAGCAGGCCATGGGTGCAAAGATGGGGGAGGCGACATGGGACTGAGTGCATGGGGACAAACCCCCCTGGATGGGCGGTGCTGTGAAGGGACAGGGCTATTCAGCACACACTTAGGAATCCACATGGAGAGAGTGGCCTTCGCCCCACTGGCACACTCGGTCACAAGGCCCAGCTCTGAATGGGCCCTAGGATCTCCCACCTGGGACCACCCAAACCCTCCTAACTAACCAGCTGGTGAGCGCAGCCAAGTTGTCACACATCCCAGTCTGGTTCCCATGTAGCTGAGGCCCTGGTGCCTGAGCTCTGATACCACATGCTCTGGGGGATGGTGTGGGGCAGCCCTCGCTCCGGGTGCCCAGGCACCTCGGCTCCCGTGGCTAGGAAGTTCTTGCCTGTCGCCTGCCATCCCAACCTGCCTGGCTGGGTGGAGCCTCACCTCTGGGGACGTGACAAAGGCGTGGGTCTCGGGGTTGGCATCATTGCGGCCAGTGAAGTTCCGGTTGTAGGAGGTGACAATAGTGTTTTTCTCTCCCTTCTTGATGTCTTTCCTGCCAAGTCAAGGGACAGGGTAAGGGACATCTGCCTGTCACCTGTCCCCTCCTCAGGTCAGGCAGGCAGGTTCCTGAGAGCAGAGGGAGGTGGAGGGCTGGAAGAAACAGCCCCTCCCTGGAACTCAGTGTGCAGAGACCCCCCAGGGGCCACAAAAACAAGTTTCAGGCTACGCCATGGCTGAGCCCACCTAGCTAAGGCTTCCTGGCCCAGGTGATGCCCCACCACTCCACTCCCTCACCCCCAACCCAATCAACCTCCATTCAGCAGCCTGTTCAAGTCCCAGGCTGTCCAGGTTAAAGCACATGGCACCCCGAGTTCAGCCTTCAGGTTGTGCCCAGGACACCCTTCAGACGGGGTCTTGTCTGCAGTGGGAGCCTGAGCTGCAGCCTCTCCTTCCCACTCAGTAACACCTCCCGCGACATCCAGGCTCCACACTAAGCAGCACTCTCACCTGTCCCACTGACCAATGCAGGGTCCACAGGCGTTGGCCAGGACAATGCCACCCACATCTCTCAGGGTCTGTGCCTGTGAGGAAAGGAGCAGGGGGTGGGGGTTCAGGAGCCTGAGAGAAAGATGCAATAGAGTCCAGGGTAGAGTCGGGTAGCCACTGGCCCTGCCCCAAAGTTGATGAACCAGGTAGGGGGAGGGGGGTGGGGGACAGGGACATAGAGCACTCACATAGCCATCCCGCTCGATGGTGGCCCGGATCTGCTCAGAGCCTGGCGTGATGGTGAACTGGGACTTGCACTTGAGCCCGTGGGCCAGCGCCTGCTTGGCCACAGCTGCTGAGCGCCCCATG